CCCCCCCCGCCTCTGTTAGTACACATTTACTGACACAAACATTTGTATCATCTGTTGTAGACCCAAATACATAAAATCAAATAAGAACTCATTCTCAAAAAAGATAAACGCCATTCTTAAAATGTATAAACGAATAATAGTTTGATTAATATTGATTAGAGTGCACAAAAGAAATAAAATAATTGAGAGAAGAAAAAGAGATATATATCAAAACCCAGTTAGATTAACATTCATTGGATTGCACACTTTGTGTGTTTGTGTGGATATGTAGCACATTAACATTTTAATAGCACTTAATGACTGACTGAATGGAAATGACAATAAATGAAAATGTAAAACGAAAAAAGCGATCATGAAAATGTTTTCCAAAAAATGAATAAAATGATTTTTGACCACTTTGTTGTTCAGATATATCACATATTTGTAACTAAATGAAACATCAATTGAAACAAAACACGGTATAAACTGAGGAGTGAGTCCCGTGAGTTTCATGTGTTTTCTTCACTCCGCTGGGAAACTGCTCTCATGTCAAGAAGCATCAGATCAGTGCCTCCGGCTTCCGGTAACTGCTAGAATCCACTTCAAGACACTGGTACTTGCTTACCATGCTGCAAATGGATCTGGCCCTTCGTACATCCAGGACATGGTTAAACCGTACACCCCAGCACGTGCACTCCGCTCTGCATCAGCCAAACGACTCGCTGCACCCTCGCTGCGAGGGGGACACAAGTTCCCATCAGCAAAAACACATGGGTTTGCTGTCCTGGCTCCAAGATGGTGGAATGAGCTCCCCATTGACATCAGGACAGCAGATAGCTTACACACCTTCCAGACTGAAAACTCATCTCTTTCGACTCCACTTTGAGCGATAGAACTATTAACGAAGCACTTTTATACTAATAAAGGACTGGCTTACCTAAAGCCAGTTGAGTAGCACTTGAAATGTTTGGCTCTATGAAACCTGATGTACTTTATGATTCTGTTTTCTTCAAGGTTGTGTCTTCCTGGTCGAATGTACTTATTGTAAGTCGCTTTGGATAAAAGCGTCAGCTAAATGTAATGTAATGTAATGCATGCACTGCATCGTCCAATCAGTGAGCGATACACAGTAAGGGGGCGGGGCGAGTGTCTGAGGATTTCATCGAAGGATGGTCTGGTGGTTCCTCGATTATAGCTCCTCCATTATCGCTCCTCGCTCCTCCGGCAGAAATAAGAGCCATGGGACGGTACTCAAGATGGCGCAGACAAATCAACTTCCGGTGAGACCGAGGACCGAGGAGCGAGGAAATGAAAATAGTCGACCTGAGACAGGGCCAGTGACTTTCTAGAATGGCGCAAAAAAGGATTTTGGATTTATTTTTTTCAACAAACAACCCAATAAAAAGAGTGGACCACCAGCTACGCCTCAGCCCACCACCTCTACAACTAGAGTAATATGACACAGAAGAGACATCTGACTTTGATGCATGTCCACAGTAACATGTTGGACAATGTGGATGTATCTGCTTTAATGAGGGTCTTCATTAGTGCCACCCCAGAGAGGAAGGCTACATTTGGAGTTGTGTGAAGCCCCAACACAAGGTAAGACGATATTTTCCTTTACAGCTGCTGCCGCTGTGCAGTGTGTTGCCTTGTCAATCAGTTAAAATTGAATTCATAGTTTTATTAATATTGTAAATAATATTTTCGTCTGACTATTTGTAATGTTATGTAGGTTTGTAAGACCCATAGTTAGCATGTGCAGCTGTTGCTAAGTGATGTAGGTCTATAATGGTTTATTAAGCCTAACAGTTAAGGTGAGACACCCCAGGTGAATAGGGTAATTTTTTTTACTTAAAGATATCAGCTAGAAATGTCTCGAGTTAATTACCTACAATAAGGCAATTGTTTAATTGAGCCATTATCTCATTAAATATGCGCATATTTTAACACATTTCAGGAACCGAAATCTGAACTTTGGATAAAGCCAGGTTCAAAATTCTTGTTTCATTTTGTAGTCATATTAGTATCTAAGGCTTTTACAGAAGGGATTTTGGATATCTCTTTTTATCACTCCATAAATCAGAACATACTGTCAACAGCCCTAAAATATCCATTTTCGCCATGTTTCTAGGTATAAAATCTTATATAATTCAGGCTATGAATGATATATGAACAAACCCTTCTGTAAAGGCCTTCATAATATTGATAGGAATATAACTGGAAGGTTTGGTGTATGTACGTGCTACTGAAGTTGAAATGTCGAACTCAGAGTAGGAGAAAAAACTCATTTTGAGAAAAGGACCTTTAAAGATTGCAGTGAGGCGCTAGCTAAACCCTCTGTTCTTTGGATGACAGCTTGCGCCTCGACGCACTCCGTGAAGGTATTTCATGTTCAGGGTCATTTGTTTTTTGTATAACCTTGCTTCGTGCAAGTGACAATTGTTGTCGTCTTCTCTGTGAACGTTTTTTTTCGCCGTTCTTTTGCCATTTTGAGATTTCAATTTCTAGTGGAAAGCTAACCAGGAAGTGTTTTAGCACACCACGTGACGCATCTGAACGAATCACGTTGTCAATATCACCTTGCTATTGGTAGCTGAACTGTCAACACCCCAAAACATATCCTTAGATAGAAACACCTCATTTTGAGCTATTTAGACTTAATTAACACTCATAGTTTCATGTCTTGTTACATGAGAATAGATCATATCTGTTAAGTGTTATTATGGGAGAATTACTATTCTTGTGGTACTGCTGCCTCATTAGGCCCATATTGAGTATATTAAGACTCATGTACAACAACTTCCTTACTTACAACCAATCAGCACTAATTAGAGAGTCATTGAGGAAAAACTCTCAACTAATGGATTATTACTTGTAGAATATGGTTGTGCAGAATAAGGCATTAATAAGTGTTTTATAATGACTAACCCTTAGATGCATAAGTGGGGTCTTTTTTGGACCCGGTGAGGTGGTTTCCTTGAAGAACTTTGAAATAAAAAATTATTATCATTTCATATTCCAGCTATTCCTCAAAAACATGTTTTGGATATCAGGCCATTCACATTTTAAATTTACATTTTAAGAAATTGTAGTTTTTGTATTGCTACCCCAAGCTTCCATAAGTGGGTCGAAAATGACCCGCATGCATTTCCTATGGGATCCTCTGGGAACCTTTGATTCTAATCCTGTTGCTGTCAGGAATACATTCACTGTGGAACACACAGACGACATCACATGTGACACCTCTCAGGAAGATTACTTTACACAGCAAGATCTGAAACCTGTCAGTATAATAATAATAATACATTATATTTGTCTAGGGCTTTTCAAGGACTCACATCACTTTACAATATAAGGGAAGGTTAGGGGGGGGGGGGTATAGGACTATCAGACTTGATCAGCCGGCATGGATTGATGGGGGGGGGGGGGCTATGAGAGACTAGAGGAGAAGAGATGAGTTTTGAATAAAAATGAAATATTTCTAGTGTGAACCAAAATATAATACTAAATATTATACAAGTGATCTTTCTGAACCAAAATGACAAAAAGGGCATAAAAACACATATTATTCTAATACGGGTCCTTTTTGACCAACTTATGGAAGAGTGTAGGGTCCAGTCACTCTAAGGGCATCTAAGGGCTAATAAAGAGCCAATATACTGCTAATATGCATGTTAGTTAACAACCAGTTGATGTCTGCAGGTTATTTGTTCTACTTGTAACAACCGGTGTTTATGTGCAACCCAGTCTCACGGCATTTCGTGTTCACCAACACGATTTTTAATCTATTGATTCGTGTTCCCCAACACGATTTGTCCCTTTTTTTCGTGTTGCACAGCACGATTTTTTTTCGTGTTGCACATCACGATTTTAAAAGCAATGTATTTCTATTGCCTGCAGCACGTCTTTTTCTCCGGTCGGGTCGAGGAAGACGGATTAGGACTATAAGGGACATTTCGAGCGTCATTTCGAGCGTCATTGCGATTTTCAACCTTTCTGAGTTTAGGATGGCCGAAGACACTACACTACCCATAATCCCCAGCTATCGTTTAGGACTACAGTCCCCCGTAAGGTTACGCAGAGCGTCAAACAGCTGTGTGAAATGGAACGAAACCACGCCAGACTATCCAAAACTCGAATGGAACGCCCCCCCCAGAACTGCATGCTGGATGCTGGCTATTGTGTTTCGCCAAATGTTCTATAGGACGTCTCTACTGAACGTTTTCGTTTTTCCCACAATTAGAAGTTGCCAGTATTAAACACATTGGCGTTATCAAATGTAAAACTATTATATATTATAATGAATAAATGGGTGAAAATCGCTATATATACCCACATGACAGCTCATTGTTACTGCACACACTCACTCACACACACACAATCACACACTCAGTCACACACACACTCTCACTCACTCACACACACACACACACACACTCACACACACTCACTCACTCACACACACACCTTACCTCTTACCTCACTCTGAGACCAAGCAGAGACGGCCCGTCGTATCCCTATTTCAGGCACTCCAGCCTCGGATGTCCGACCGCTAGGATAGCAAAACGGAGTGTGTAGTGCAGTAGGTGTTGGTGGGCTGCTAGAACCCCAGAGCAGTATCTAAACTGCCCCTGGAGGAGAGACCCTGTGTCGTTGGGAGACCCCTTGGTAGTTAGGGCAGCTTCAGGACCCACAATCCCTAACCCCCTCTTTTGATCCCCTTATACCAATTAAAACAATCAAAGTCATATCAAACCCAGCCAGAGTCAAACATGAATATCACAGCAGTGACATCACCACATCAGCAGAGCATATGTTTCAACATCAATCAAAACCACATCAACCACAGTGACCAATGTGAAACTATAGTTTAACCTTAGCAGAGTTTCTATTCCCCTTAAACTATTTAAAATCCAAATCATCAACTAATGTCAGCCTTTTCCAAGGAAGGGTGTTCTTACCTCACTCTGAGACCAAGCAGAGACCTCCAGAGACCACCAGAGAGACCAGGAGTTGGGTCCAAAAGTACAAACCGGTTTTATTAAGGTTTTAACAAAAATAGAGGATTTACAAGAATCCAAAAAATAACAAAAGACACAAAGTCAAAATACAAAAGCAACAAGTCAAATGTCCGAATAAAGCCTTCTAAAAGAGCTTTTACTTAATGAACAATTACAAATGTAAAGTTAAAATTAAAACAAATAAAGACTTATAGTAATAATATGCAATTTTAACGAGAGGGGAAATGAACATGTTTCATGAAAGCAGAACACATTGTTCATGTCATGTTTAGAATCAAGTTTTTTTCTTTAAACATTTAATTTCAAATATGCAAACTTTATACTTTAATTTATTAACAGAGACTTCATTTATTAGCAGAGACAATAAGGACAGCTTGTCTCTGATTCTCTGGCCCAGGAAGTTGGTTGGAGTCCTTTGCGTAGGCCGCCTGCATCCTGTGCTTCATTGTCTTCATCCCCGCGGTAACCGCTCTCAAGGTGTCAAAAGAGCCACAAGCTTATCTCCAAACAATTGAAGATTATCATAAAGTCACACAATATAAATAATATAATGATTAACAATCATATCAGGAAACAGAGATATGCAGCACTGAGTATATAAGTGGGTTTAAACAACACAAAGCTAAATGGCTTCACAGCGTTAGCATAAGTAGTCAAACATGTAAATATCACACATTTTAAAAAGCAGGAAATGAAAAAAGGAACTCACCTTGTGATAAACCTGCAAGAGAACAAGCATTTGAGCTCCATGCTGTTTCAGAAATAATCTTTGATGTGGTTTGGAACAGGATGGCGTTTTATCACAGCAGAATTTAACTTTATCTCCGGTAGAATTCTGATCAGGCATTAGCTCCGCCTCCTCTGTTTAAGCTAAGGACCCAACAGCTGCAAAAGAGGGGTTTGAGCAGTATGAGGCATGGCTACAATGGGTGATCTGTTTGGTATTTGAAGCAACACACTTCACAGACATGTTTTGTAGAGGTATGGCCTATATGTTTCCAATATAGCATGATAGGTCCACTTTCCTTTACATCAGAATCAGCATTTATTTTATTACATTACATTACATTTAGCTGACGCTTTTTTCCAAAGCGACTTACAATAAGTACATTCGACCAGGAAGACACAACCTTGAAGAAAACAGAATCATATAAGTACATCAGGTTTCATAGAGCCAAACATTTCAAGTGCTACTCAACTGGCTTTAGGTAAGCCAGTCCTTTATTAGTATATAAGTGCTCTGTTAATAGTTCTAACGCTCGAAGTGGAGTCGAAAGAGATGAGTTTTCAGTTTGCGCCGGAAGATGTGCAAGCTATCTGCCGTCCTGATGTCAATGGGGAGCTCATTTCACCATCTTGGAGCCAGGACAGCAAACCCACGTGTTTTCGCCGATGGGAACTTGGGTCCCCCTCGCAGCGAGGGCGCAACGAGTCGTTTGGCTGATGCAGAGCGTAGTGCACGCGCTGGGGTGTACGGTTTAACCATGTCCTGGATGTAGGAAGGGCCAGATCCATTCGCAGCATGGTAAGCAAGTACCAGTGTCTTGAAGTGGATTCTAGCAGTTACCGGAAGCCAGTGAAGGCAGCGGAGGAGCGGAGTGGTGTGGGAGAATTTAGGAAGGTTGAAGACCAGACGAGCCGCTGCATTCTGGATGAGCTGCAGAGGTCGGATGGCACATGCAGGTAGACCAGCCAGGAGGGAGTTGCAGTAGTCTAGGCGTGAGATGACGAGAGCCCGGACCAGAACCTGAGTCGCTTTCTGAGTCAGCTGGGGACGTATCTTCCTGATGTTGTAAAGCGTGTATCTGCAGCAACGGATTGTAGCAGCGATGTTTGCAGTGAAGGACAGGCTGTTATCTAGGGTCACACCCAGATTCCTTGCAGTCTGAGTCGGGGAAACAACTGAGGTGCCGATGTTGATTGTTAGGTCAAGCGTTGGACAATCTTTTCCCGGGAGGAAGAGCAGTTCAGTCTTGTCAAGGTTGAGCTTGAGGTGGTGAGCAGACATCCACTGAGAGATGTCAGCTAGACAAGCAGAGATGCGTGCGACGACCTGGGTCTCTGAGCGGGGAAAGGACAGAATTAATTGGGTGTCGTCAGCGTAGCAGTGGTAAGAAAAACCATGCGGGCTAATGACTGATCCGAGCGAGTTTGTGTACAGGGAGAAGAGGAGGGGACCAAGAACAGAGCCCTGAGGGACCCCCGTAGTTAATTGACAAGGGTCGGACTCAGACCCTCTCCAAGTAACCCTGTAGGTACGGTCTTTGAGGTATGAGGTGAGGAGGGAAAGTGCAGAGCCTGAAACTCCAAGTTTTTGGAGAGTGCGAAGGAGGATCTGATGATTCACCGTGTCGAATGCAGCAGACAGGTCCAACAGGATGATGACAGAGGAGAGGGAGGCTGCTTTGGCAGTGTGCAGTTCCTCCGTGACAGCAATGAGATCAGTTTCTGTGGAGTGACCTGCCTTGAAACCAGACTGGTGCCGATCCAGAAGGTTGTTCTGATTGAGATAACAGGAGAGTTGTTTAAAGACAGCGCGTTCAAGTGATTAATTGTTATTATTTATTTTTGTAATAATGGGACACAGGGTTCGGTCCGGATTGATTTGCAGTTCGGTCCGGATCCGGACCTTGGTTTGAGAAGCCCTGCCCTACAGGGTGTACTTTGAGGGTTTGTGACTCTGCAGACCGTTTACATGCATAACAACCTTCATAACACAAGGGGACGGGTAAGAACCGGAAAGCATGAAAAGCATGCCCTTTAAGGCATTAATATTTCTGTAGAGACAGCTCAAAGTGTGTGTCCTCTAACCCGTTCTAACATCTCTATTATATCATTCACACGGATCTCTATTATTAATAACATTACATTTAGCTGACGCTTTTATCCAAAGCCACTTACAATTAGCGATTACAGGGACATTCTCCCTGGAGCAACTAAGGGCTAAGTGCCTTGCTCAAGGGCACACTAGTGGTGGTGTTCCTGGCGGGATTTGAACTCACAGCCTTCCCATCTTCAGCCCACCTCACTATCCATTAGACCCCTAATAAGTGGGGTCTATGGACACACTGTGTTACACACACAAACACACACTCACAAAAACACATGTACACATACTCTTACGCACACACATTAACATTGACACACACACAGAGGTACTGAGGTGGGATCCATATATACACACAATCTCTTTTTTAGGCATCAGTGGGACACTTTAAAAACACACATACACACACACACAAACAAACGCTTACATCAAGTTTTATCACCAAATACTTTGATATTTGTCAAACACACTTGCACAAATGCACACACACACACACACACACACACACACACACACACACACACACACACACACACACACACACACACACACACACACACACACACACACACACATACTATACCAGGTCATGTTAAACAGGTACAGGTCAGTTAGTTAACGTCTGCAGTTAGTGATGGGGCAGTGAGGCGTTCAGGGGACAGCAGAAGGTGGGAACTGGCAGCATCCTCTGTGGTTCCTCCTGATGTAATTGTTGCTGTAGAACATGTTTCAGTGTGATGATGGTGCTCCATGACTCATTTGAACTGAAGGAGCATATTCTCTGAGCTGTTGCTTTAACTCTGAACATGTGACTTCTCTGTATGAACGTGTTCTTCTCAGCTCGAGTAAACTGGTGGAATGACTCCAGAGTGAGTTCACTGACGTGTTCCTGAGACGATAGGAAACTCTGTTGACCTTATCTTCTGATTTCTCCTCAGGACTCCAGGCTGAAGGAGAACTCAACTCAACAGGTAACGAGCTCAGTTTATTCAGCCTGTTACTCTTTAAGTGATTCCAGCCTGTAAACAACCTTTATCATAAAACATGATGTATTTAAAGACTTCACCACTAACTGGTCCTAGTTTCATCATTTATCATTCTACCATGTTTGTGAAGAGGATATACTTCAAAGGTCAACAACAAACCATCACCACCTTTTCATCACCACCACTTTCCATGATTATACTTTATAAATACCATCAGATCATCCCATTGAAAAGGAACCCAACTTTGATACAACCAACGTTAATATCTAGGCCGTCTCCGATCCCGAGCTCCGGTGCTGATAAGGCTCCGGTGAACGGCCGTCCAATCTTTTTAGGACTAAACCCCCAGAATCTCCACGATCACCGTAATCTGCTCAGGGGGGCGTTTACAGCGTGGCTCTAACACCACACGGCCCGTCGTATCCCTATTTCAGGCACTCCAGCCTCAGATGTTCGACCGCTAGGATAGCAAAATGGAGTGTGTAGTGCAGTAGGTGTTGGTGGGCTGCTAGAACCCCAGAGCAGTATCTAAACTGCCCCTGGAGGAGAGACCCCGTGTCGTTGGGAGACCCCTTGGTAATTAGGGCAGCTTCAGGACCCACAATCCCTAACCCCCTCTTTTGATCCCCTTATACCAGGGGTTCTCAAAGTTTTGATGAGTGAGGGCCAATTTAGGTACCCAATATTGGATTGAGGGCCGCCCAAGAAAAAACGGAACACAAAATAATTCCAAAACAAATCCTTTCTTTATTGTACTAACCAATTACCGCAACTCGCGAGATGCCTAGTTGCCATGCAAACAGTAGTCTAGTAAACTTTCCACAAACTGTCATTCATAATTTAGGAATGACAACCAGGGGGCGCAGTTTTACCATTCTTAACCCTCTGGAGTCTAAGGGTATTTTCTCGATTTTTAGATGTTTTCTTAAATCACCTTTTAAATGTATTTCTTCTAACATGGCACCCCATGTGTTAAATATCAAAATGTTCAGGACAATCTATAGTCTTGCTATATATGCATATTGCTCACCTTAGAGCACTGTTTGATGAGATAAGTAGCTCAAAAGCTTAAAATGTGAAATCAGATTTTTGGAAAATCTTCAAAACTCTTGTGAAAACACAAATTTACTCATGTGATCGAATTGTTTTGGTGTTTTAGATTTGGTTACCAAAGTCCTAGGATCATAAAAGCAGTGACATATTTGAATTACACTGTATATAAATGTGTTATTCATGTCTAAAATGAAAAACATTCAATTCAAATTTTGAGTAAAATAGGTGTTTATCACTCTACTTTCACCACAGCAGGGGCTGAGATACATCAGGACTGAATAATGACTTCATATTACATACCAAGGTTCATGTGATGTGTACAAATACAAATTGAGCATTCAACCTTTTTTTTTCAACCAACAATTTATTATAAATATGTTTTTTTCAACCAACTATTTATAGAAATATAAGAAACTGGAAAATCTCACTATTTACAATATTGAACATCAGAACTTTCAACCAACTATTCATTATAAATGTCAAGACAGTGTCACGGTCTTTGTCTGTCTTCCAATACAGTGGGTCTGGCTGCTGTGTAGGTGGGGGTGATGGTGGGCTGCTGTGTAGGTGGGGTGTACAAGTGCTATACAAGACCTCCACGAGACCTCCTTGCTGGCTGGGTTGAAGGTGATGGCTGTGGTGGAGCCTTTGTGCTGAGGTGTATCTTGACCTGGGGGCCGGCACAGATGGATGTTGTGGCTGCTGGATAAACGCCGCCTGTGTAGGACAATAATTACAACTAATTTAATTGAAATAAAGTTCAAGTAAAATGTTGCTCAAGCACAAATAACAATGCACACATAAAAATAAAGTTTGGGAGGTTGCAGAAGGAGTCTCTCTCGATCTCACACACACACACACACACACACACACACACACACACACACACACACACACACACACACACACACACACACACACACACACACACACACACACAGGTATTTCCAGTTACTTTACATTCAGTATAAAATCACAGACACACATATACATAGGCTACATCTGATTACAAAGTCTCATCTGTACAGGACGGTAAAATAATAACAGGCACACATATAAATAAATCTATGACAAAGTACAGAACAGTATGATAAAATAATCGATGGCAAAAACATGTAACTGTAAATGTCTCCGTTGTGGGACGAATAAATGATTAATTTAATCATCTACACATGTAATCTCACTTTTACACACCAAAATAACGTGAACACAGAGTAAACGTTTGCTAATGGAGAGTCTATTTTGTCCAAATAAAAAGTTCATGACTATCGATAAAAAATATATATCAATAAACCTATTGTTCATTTTTGCGGTATTCCCCACACATTGCCAGTACACTATTACTGTAATATGTACACTTACCCATGTCCAAATGGATCCTTGTTGTTGTCTTTGAGTCGAAGACTTCAGGTTCTGAGGCTCTATCTTCACTGCTGCTAGCGAAATAAATCTCTAGCGAAGTCGGCGACTGTAAAGTTTTTTAAGCCATTTTCTGTCTCTCTCTTTCTCCTCACAGATGGGAGACACGTGGTTTATGTTTTGTTTACTTGGTGGGTAGGCCCTTAGTGATGTATCGATGTCCATTGGTCATTTCAGATGGATGATGGCTGCCGGCCGAGATTTCCTTGACGGACACACGAATCCACCAATCCCACACAGTGTAAAGTCAAGCTGCTTTGAGCGGCCATATTGGCTGCTGTACCCTGGTTACAGTCTCACAGGAGATACCGCTGGAAAGCTACTCATTATAATTCTTACTAGATACAACCATGGAGGATTCAAATATAACGCATGCATTTCAGCGTGTCACATTAACTATCGCGGGCCGGCAGAAATATTTCCGAGGGCCGCCATTGGCCCGCGGGCCGCACTTTGAGAACCCCTGCCTTATACCAATTAAAACAATCAAAGTAATATCAAACCCAGCCAGAGTCAAACATTAATATCACAGCAGTGACATCACCACATCAGCAGAGCATATGTTTCAACATCAATCAAAACCACATCAACCACAGTGACCAATGTGAAACTATAGTTTAACCTTAGCAGAGTTTCTATTCCCCTTAACCTGTTAAGCCCGAAGGTCCCCGCCGGCAGAGACCCTGGGTCTTTTTTTCACGATACTGTGTCTCAGGGGATCTTAATATTTAAGAACCTATTAATGTGTTATACCAGATTAACGGAAATAATCTCAGCTAACTGACAATACAAACCATGTTTACCAAAACAAAACACAAGTCTCACAAGAAGCATCTAAATTACCCCTGAGCGAAAAATGCTAACGGACATTGGCACAGAACTCAAGATAAAAGTACCCTTATTACTTATCATAGCTGCACATACAATATATCCGATTAAAGCTGAGACTCCATAGATTATGTAGGTATATAGTATCATCACTGAGTGATCCGGACGCGCGACAGGGGAAGCAAATACAGTCATCACAACACGTACCTTTACGAAGCTTCTAGGGAGATCGTCTCACAAGTAGCTGTCAATCTGATCAAAGTACATGTTCAATGGCATTAAAATGAGAAAAAACGCGGCTGAATCTGTTAATCCATAGGTTCTTAACGTCCATGTATAAAAAACTGATTGAATTTATAATCCATAATTCCATTTTTATGTAAAAATCGGAGAGTAAATGCTAGCTGCTAATGGTAGCCACCACAGCTAGCTGCTGCTTCCGGTCTCGGCGATTCAGCAGTCTCACACATACACATGACCAAATAAGGACTATGTTGGAGTTCCCCTCGATTCCATTGGCTCTGACGGTCAGAAAGAGATGTCACATGTCAAAATCGAGCAAGGGGGGCCAGATATATGGAAAATCCAACCAAATAGCCCCAGAAGAGGGTTTTTTTTGCTAAATGTGTCTAAAAAGATCAAATATCACTTGTTTTGCATCAATCTTGATACAGGGTACTTATTATATGTTGTACTTTGGATTCCTAAAGCTTTTAGTCTACTAACCCATCATCCAAGGTTAGTTTTCACTATAAGTACAACATATTTTTTGGACGGACACTATAATTTACAGTTTTTTACCATGTTCAATCTGAATTTTCTTTAAAATAAAAAACATCTATATTGAATCTGACTTTTCTACATCCAACTCACAGGTTTATCATTACTTTGAGAAAAAAGATTATTAATTTAACCCTTTTAGAAGGGAAGATATGGTCATTTGTTCTGGGAATGTCATTTTCGAGCCTGAAACCTGAAAAACAGGCTCGGGGTTTAACAGGTTAAACAATTTAAAATCCAAATCATCAACTAATGTCAGCCTTTTCCAAGGAAGGGTGTTCTTACCTCACTCTGAGACCAAGCAGATACCTCCAGAGACCACCAGAGAGACCAGGAGTTGGCTCCAAAAGTACAAACCGGTTTTATTAAGGTTTTAACAAAAATAGAGGATTTACAAGAATCCAAAAAATAACAAAAGACACAAAGTCAAAATACAAAAGCAACAAGTCAAATGTCCTAATAAAGCCTTCTAAAAGAGCTTTTACTTAATGAACAATTACAAATGTAAAGTTAAAATTAAAACAAATAAAGACTTATAGTAATAATATGCAATTTTAACGAGAGGGGAAAATGAACATGTTTCATGAAAGCAGAACACATTGTTAATGTCATGTTTAGAATCAAGTTTTTTCTTGAAACATTTAATTTCAAATATGCAAACTTTATACTTTAATTTATTAACAGAGACTTCATTTATTAGCAGAGACAATAAGGACAGCTTGTCTCTGATTCTCTGGCCCAGGAAGTTGGTTCGAGTCCTTTGCGTAGGCCGCCTGCATCCTGTGCTTCATTGTCTTCATCCCCGCGGTAACCGCTCTCAAGGTGTCAAAAGAGCCACAAGCTTATCTCCAAACAATTGAAGATTATCATAAAGTCACACAATATAAATAATATAATGATTAACA